GCCCAGGCCCAGAGTTCAGGCCCCACGACTGACAAAAAAACGACAAAAAAAACCCCAAACAAGTGAAGAGGTATGGTAGAGTTATAGCACTGACTTGATTGAAATACACTGTATATAAATGTTATGTCAAAATGAAACTTCCCATTGTATAAGGTATACTCATAAAAAACTTGGTAAAGAAAAAAGATAAAAACCCCCTATTACATTGTAAACAAGGGCATTAAGAAACAGAACTATTATCATTGTTAATGTTGAACCCATAAAAGGAAATTTTTCCTCACCAACTAAAATCTCAGCCTCTATATTAGCTAGGATTATAGGCATTAGACACAAGTCAGGAAGCAACATTCTTTTTAACTACTCTTTTTAACTACCCCCAGTTGTTGGGTATGTTTCTAGTTTGTCAAAGATCTTAAAAATGCTAAGTTGCTAATACAATATGATATGAAGTCACTCATAAACTTAAAACTGAAAACCTCTTCATAGGCAGTTACAGTATCTAAATCTTGTAACCTTAAGTTACTTGGGAGGCAAAGATGGGGAACTGGGTCTCCAAGCCATCTGGGGATAAAAATTCACAAGACTGCACCTCAACTAATGGCTGGGATGGTGCATACCTGTTATCCCAGTTACAGGTGGAACACAATGGGTGAACATTATAGATTTTTTTTTTTTTTGGTCGGTCGTGGGACTTGAACTCTGAGCCTTGAGGGCTGTCCCTCAGCTCTTCGGCTCAAGGCTAGTGCTGTGCCGCTTGAGCTACAGCACCACTTCCGGTTTTCTGATGGTTTATTGGAGATAAGAGTTTCACAGTTTCCTGCGGGCTGGCTTTGAACCATGATCCTCAGATCTTAGCCTCCTAAGTAGCTAGGATTACAGCTATGAGCCACTGGCGCCTGGCAGCTTGAACTTTGTAGTTCTCATCCATCATCACAAGTAGAAAGATCACAGCCTAGATCACCCTATGCATAAAGCTTTGAAAATGAACAATAAAAAAGGGGTCTGGAAGCATGGTTTAAGTGGTAGAGCTCCTGATTAGCAAGCATGACGCTCTAAATTCACTCTCCAGAACAAAAACCTCTTTAAATGATATTATATAATAAAAATTTAAAGTGACTGCCTTATTCTCTATATATGGTTTCACAAAAGTTCAAACATATTGAAGATATTCTGAGATGTAGGCTTACCTGCATACCAACATCTTGAGTTCCCTTCTTCCATTTTTTCCACCCATGATTCATTCCATGAATGGGCAAAATCAATAAGTAGGACTAGCTGAATGAGGATGAAACAAAAGGCACCTGCCATGCCTACATAAAACCACACTGAAAGAAAAAATTAGCACACATGCAAGTGAGTGGCTAGTTTCATTTCTATTATTATCTTTTCATAATGGGAGGACAAAAAAGAAAAATAAGCTTTTATATAGATGCCCTGAGTTTGCAACTGGACCAAAAAAACTCAGATACAGGTCTAGGTAACAATGATGATAGCTTCCTTTATAGCACATCAATGTGACACATTTAAAAAACAACAACAAAACTTACCAGTTGTAAAAGTTCCTTCTGGAATGAAGAATGCTCCAATGATAATTGCAACAGCCACAGCAAATTTAAAAAACCAGAATCTAAAACATACACAATTTTTATTTATATTTCATCTAGCAAATAGTTTTGTATATAAAATCTTTTAAGAAATCTTTAAGAAACTCTTCTGAAGATATCTGGAATACAAAAAATCTATTACAAAAACTGCTTTGCAGATAGTTTTAAGAAAAATATATTTGTCACTAATTCATATGAAAATATGGGTTCTATTTCATAGGTTTATTTGACATAAGTTGGTTAATGTATAAAAGTGTAAAGCAAAATTTAATTTCACAAATAGCTTTTATAAGACAAATGACTTCAGCCTGAAGTAGTAATTTAAAACAATCACTAATCAAAAGACTGAGTATGTCACAATTTTTCATTACTATTAATATTCCATTTGTTTATCTTGTCTTTAGTATCACATAACAAAACCAACAGCAGATACTATAAAATCAAATTGTGAGGTACATAAAAAATATACAAAAGCAAAATAGTCCCATCAAACATTTACTGATAAAACCAACTCTCTCCCTTCCTTTCTTTATTAGTATTGGGGTTTGAATTCAGAACTTTGCACTCACTTTTGCATCCTCAGCTGATGCTCTACCACTTTAGCACTGCTTTCTGCTAGTTATTTTGGAGATAGAATCTCACAATGTTCTGCCTGAGCTGTCTTTGAATCATGATCTTTCAGATTCCAGGCTCCTGAGTAGCAAGGATTCCAGGTATGAGCTACCAATGCCAGGCTTAAGTTTCTTTCTCAGTTGCACAGTACAATCAATCATTTAGAAAATCAATAACCTGTTCTGGAATAAAGCTTTCCATTCTGGCTGCACTGTAGTCTAGAAAGCTGAGAGTTCTATCTGACAGGACTGGTCCATTAAAAGCTAAAAGTAGGGGAGGAATACCTCTTATTTTAGTATTCAAAAATATAGCTCTTCCTTTTAAGGTGAAACATAGAAGATTATAAATCAATCAATGGTGAATAAATAACAATAGATATTAACAATAACAATAAATAACAATAGATAACAAATATAAAAGATAACAATACCAATAAATGATCCACAGCTATCATTTAACATATAATACCTGATATTCTCTAGTAGAAACATCAGGGTTTTCAGATCTTATTCATGAAGTATATATATTTTGTTTTAAAATTTCTTTAGATAAGTTATCCATACTTCTATACTGAAACTCACACAAAAACTTACCCATTGTGTATTGCAGCTCTAGGATCACTGCTACTCTTCACTTTGATCATTAGCAAAGAGAGGAGAAGATAAAACATAGCCAAGCCAAAGCACAAACGATACACAGCTTTATATCCAACCAGAATACTGCAAGGAACTACACCTTTCTCATTTTCACAAAAGCCAGGAATCTAGGAAACCAAGAAACAATTTTTCATTAAAAATGCAAATTCTATATAATCAGACAGTTTAAAGGTTGGAAAATATAAGTTTGCTTTATACTTTCTGATAATCAAGACACCTAGCACATTTTATCAGATAAATTGAAAAATATAAACTAAACTTCCATGAGAACAAATGATAACCTCCTACCAGTATTCATTTAAATAGATGCTTCTTTTGAGATAGATTTACTGTCTTTTTTTTTTGGTTCAGGGGTTTAGAACTTAGGGCCTCATGCTTGCTTAGGCAAGTACTCTATTATTTCAGCCACCAGCCCTAAATTTTTTAAATTGCATTCTACTGCAAAATACTGAATTGAAATATAAGTGAAAAAAACTGTTAGAGCTTTAAATAAAAACTTAAGGAATTGTAAAGGAAGTCCTCCTAAGAACTAAAAAGAATAGTGCCTTTCAAAACCAATGTTACTTTAAATACATGTTTACTTTTGGACCTTTTATTCTACAAGTGCTATTTGTGATCATGAACAGATTTTTGACCTAACAATATATGAACTGACAGTAGTTTTATATTTTAACTGAAAAATTTGAAAGAGACCAGTGAAGCTGGGTGCTGGTGGCTCATGCCTCTAACCCTAGCTACTCAGGAAGCTGAGATGTGAAAATCCTGGTTCCAAGCCAGCCATAGCAGGAAAGTCCTCCAGACTCTTCTCTCCAATTAATCACAGAAAAAGCTGGAAGTGGCACTGTGGCTCAAGTGGTAGAGTGTTAGTCTTGAGCAAAAAAGCTCAGAGACAGTGCCCAGGCCCTGAGTTCAAGTCCCATGACTGACAAAAAAAAAAAAAATGACCACTTTAGAAAGTCACATTGTTGGGGACTAGGAGCATCACCGGTACAATGATTGCCTAACATGGATGAGACATTGGGTTTGATCCCCAATACCACAAAAGAAAAAAGGAAAAAAACAGTCACATTGTCATCACAATACAAAAAAGAATATTTATTTAAGGTAGTAGCATACTGTTGAGGACTATATATCACCTCTATGTTCAACAATGAATTATATGCCCTCACTTCTAGCTCCAGCACTCCAAAAATATGGTTAGACACAAACTGTATCCTAATGGAGAACTCTAAAAGCAATTTCTTAGTCCTTACATTCATCTCTTTGTTTTTACTCTGACCCTATCTTGTCAACTTAAAATTTTTCCTAATCACTGTCTTGGTTCTCCTTTTCTAAATGTAACTTCAGAGGACTTTCTTTCTCTGCCAGTTCCCTAAAACAAGAACTTTTAACAAAGTTATAACACTACTCTCTCTGAATGGTCCACTTCAGCAAATGTTGCCAAAGGCTTCAACTTTCACCTTTCCCAAGACAAGCTATGAATTCTCCTTGTACTATACACCTATGTTTTCCACTTCCTGCTATATATAGTTATGGACTTCAAGTATGTAATTCATACATGGAAACCTTAACCCCACTTGGGATAGTAAAAGAGACTGAAACTGGTAGAATTAATGGGATTTTTGTTGTTGCTGTTGTTTAAAGAGACAAGAGATGACTTTGCTCCATCTACAAATAAACAACACCCTCAATGTAATTGAACCCCTGGCACTGTGACCTCAGACTTCTAGCCTCTGCAAGTGTGAAATTTCTGTTGATAACTTATCAACAAATTTACCAAATTTCTGTTGAAAATTATATTATTATGATGAATATCTCAAAGACAACATACTAGAAACTAAATTTATGATATTTTCTCTGCCTCCTTCTAAAACCTGACCCATTAAAAATAATTCAAATGAAATAAAAAATCAAGTATCCTTACTTTTCTGTTGGGCTAAAAGCAACAGACTGCTCCCAATCTTCTAGAAACACAACTTGCTTGTCTTGACTTCAGCACTATTTAAAAGCTACCCAGAGTCAGACTCAATTTTATATCCATAAACTTTATTTTAGGTCTCTATATAATCTGATTACATCACTGTAACAGCTTTAACACAGAACTGCTTTATTCCTATTCAGCTTAATCTTCCTAAAGCACATATACACTATGCTCAAAAATCTTTTACAGTCTTATGCTTCCTGAGTTTCATTCTTTGCATATGAAAGCCACATTTATTTTTATAATGTTCCTTTTCAGAGAAAAAACAATAATATCCCATTTCCATTTTCCATAACACTTAGACACTTTCATCTGTTTTAGTTTAGATTTTTCTCTTCATTTGCCAATGCACATTCTCTGTATCATCATCATAGAAATGAATAAGCTATCTCATACTATCTTTGTTTTACCTGAAATATAAGCTACTAAAATTAGGATTACATATTATTTTTACATTATTTTCTCTTTAATAACCAAAAACCAGTTGTAAGACAGAAAATCTACTAACCTTATTCAGTTGTTCTTCCATTCCTGGTATCAACATTACACAGGCCACACACACACCAACAAGCAAGAAAAGTGCATAGATCAATCTAGTCACAGTGGAGTTGTTTCCACTAGGACAGCATCGGCACAGCAAACAGGGGGCACTACCACAGAGACATGGTATCTGGGAAAAAAATTAAGAATCAGTATTAGTTAAAATGATGCCAAGAAATTTTACATTCAACTTTAAAAAAAGAAAAAAAAGATAATTAAGATGAAAACAATAAACTACAAAATGCAGACGAAAGACCTAAAATAGTAAAATACATTGGACTCATGCATGAAGAGATCTGTCAGCTCCTTCCAAACTAATACAATTTCAATCACAATGCCAGTAAAAGTTTTCCATAAGCAAACTAGTGCTTTAAATACTTATACATAAAGGCAAAGAAACTAGAATGGCTGAACGTGTTTTGAAAAATATAAAGTTGAAAAATTTATAATAGATTTTAAGAAGAACTTTACAATGACAGCATGATTACTGAAGACAATGACAGACAAAATGGTAGATACAAATAAAACAGAACTCAAAAAGACTAATAAAACAGAACTAATTTATAAAAATATGGTCAAAGGATTTTTGTACAGATATCAAAGCAAGTCAATATAGAAAGAATAATCATTTTACAAATGTTGCCCAAATATACTAATAGTCTTTTTAACAAATGGTGCCCAAATAGATACCCATATATATGTGTGTGTATATATATATATATATATGTGTGTGTGTGTATATATATATGTATATATATATATATATATGTATATATACATATATATGTTTGTACATATTATATTATTTTTTTGTTTTTGGTCTGTCCCAGAGCCTGAACTCAGGACATTGGTGCTGTCTCTGAATCTCTGTGCTCAAGGCTAGTGTTCTACCTCTAGAGCCACAGCACCACTTTCAGCTTTTCTAAGAGTCTCACTGGGACTTCCCTGCCTTGGTTGGATTCAAACCATGATCCTCAGATCTTAGCCTCCTGAGTAGCTAGGATTATAGGTATGAGCCACTGACATCGGGCCATATCCATATTTTTTAAAGTAAGCCATAAGCAAACCATCTGTGAAAACTAAAGTCTAATAACACAAAGACACTCAACTACCAAAAAATTTTGATAAAAAATGACTACCATTTACACATCATGAAGATACTGATTTAAACAAAGTATTTACAAATTAGGTCATCTAAGAAATTATTTTTATCCAGAATATAAAAGAAACTCTCAAAACTCAGTATAAAAACAAATTTAAAAAAACATACAGGGGCTGGGAAGGTGGCTCAGCGGTAGAGTACTTGCCTTGCATGCATGAGGCCCTGGGTTCAATTCCTCAGCACCACATAAACAAAAAGAAAAAAGCCGGAAGTGGCGCTGGGGCTCAAGTGGTAGAGCGCTACCCTTGAGCTGAAGAGCTGAGGGACACCGCCCAGGCCCAGAGTTCAGGCCCCACAACCGGACCCCCCCCCAAAAAAAAAGCAAAAAAAACCAAACCCATACAAACAGGTATTTCTCATCAAAACTGTATGGATGACAAGTAACCATCTAAAACCTGTTTACTGTAATTATTAGGGATACAGCTTTTATTGCCTGAACATTATAACCAACTACTGACAAAAGCATACACAGCAACAGGAAAGACCTGAAAGAGTAGAAACACTTAGAAAAACTAGAAAGTAGTCTTTCTACACTAGAAGTCTAGAAAAAAAATGATGTCTAAAGAAAAGGTGTAAAAAATGGTGTAGCTATTTTAAAAATTGGTAGTTACTATGTGTCAACAATAAAAATGAAGAGTACTAATACCTGTAACAATAATTACTTGTAAACTGTTCAGTAGAACAGTAGACTCAAAGTTCATATACTATGATTTCTAGAATGACATTTTAGAAAGGTAAATTTTACTCAGAAAACTAAGATATTACACATATGTAAAATAGGCTACAAAAGTACAGAATGTAAGATAATGAAATGGAATAACTACAAAATAAAGGAAAAAATACTGTATTTATACACCCAAACTGTCTCTCAGTTTTTATATTTTCAACTATAAAACCACAGGGAATTCAAAACACACAATCCTTTTCACGTTAATTGGTAATATAAAAAAAAATACTGAGAGCTCTAAGCCAACTTAACTGTAGAGCACAAGTTCCTGTACAGTAAGTTGTTACCAGAATTATGCAGAATTTATGAAAATGTAGAATACTAAATCACAGCCAGCGTTTGCAATGTATTTCTAGGTAATTCTGATGTCCAGTGCCCAAGAAACAAACTTTGAGAATTGACTACATAATGGCTACATGAAAATAATGACACAAAGTGCTTCTGGTTAAAGATGGCACAGTGAATATATGTTCCCTGTAGAAACCAAAGGAAAGGAAAAATAAAGGTATATATTAAAATAATAAAATTTTAAAAAATTGAAAAACTAGAATTGAAAAGTGGAAAGTAGAAAGCAGTTAGTGCCATAACAGAGCAAGAAAACTCAATTCTAAGCCATCAAGAAAGGTAAGAACTAACAAGATATGTTTAGTAGAATTCTCAAATAGATCAAGAATTGGTAGCATCAAGTGCCTTCAAAAATGACAATGAAAGTAAATGTGAATGTAAGATGATTAGTTAAATGTAAAGAACAAAAACAAAGAGCGCTCCACTGGTTGAACACTAAATAAAACTGACAACAGTAGTAACACACTAACAATGTTGTTAACTTCATATATTGAAAGTGAGAACCTTAGCAGAAATGGCTCCCAACTTTCCAGGTAGAAATCTGGAAATTTCCTCTGAATCCAGCAATGGTTTATCAACAACCTTAGATAAATGCCTGCATTCCTTTTCTGCAATGAAAAGCTAACAACTTTTTTTTTTTTTAACCAAAATGCTATATCAGAATATTATAGAATCCACTGAAAACTGAGGAAAATTTTAACATGAATGGAAAGTAATTTTTTGGGAAAAGTTGAAGGAAACAAACTGCAGGTAGATGAAAGCATGAAAAGATCTAGTATTTTTAATGTTTTTATTATACTTACATAGATAACTTAAAAAGACGACTATTTCTGATTCATTTTAGCATTCTAGGATTACTTTCATGAAACAATACTAAGATATTAAAATAGATCAAATGGAAAAGATTCCTACTAATTAAAATTTTCAAGTTTATAAAGTTAACTAAAAGAAAAATCGAAAACAATCAGATTTCTCAGACAACAGTGAAAAAAAGTCAATGAAGAGGAAAGAAACCTAGTGTTTCTGTCCAGAAATCAGTTTCTGTGTAACAGAAATAAAATGGAGAAAATACAAAGGTGAAGGAATAGAACTCAAGAAATTCAATTGGTGGAGATGGGAAAGTGGGAGGTCACAATTATTTTCTAAAACTGACTTCAACATCTTAATAGCCAACACTGAAAGTCAGATGCCAAAGGAGCAATGCTTTCAAATTTCTAAGAAAAAAAGACTTCCAAGTTACAATTCTATGCCCAACTAGTGTATCTGCTATGCTTTTTTCTCAAGGTACACCATACCAAACTATAATTGTAAAACAAGAAGGGGAACAAGCAGTGCAGAAAAAAGTGGTTTCATCTTAAAGATGAGTGTACTCTCAGTCAATTATGAAGTTTATTCAAAGATGAAAATAGTGATGAATGAAGAGACCAAACTCCAAGTTCAAAACTGTTATTAACTGCATGTAATTTATGCACATCCTAGTTTACTTTAAACCATCTCTGTATTATTTATAATACCTAATTCAATGTAAATACCATGCAAATAGTTGTTATACATTTGTTTTAGAGAATGACAAGAAAAATGTCTGCACCTATTCAGCATGGATTCTTTTTTATTCTTTCAAATATTTTCAATTCAGTTTGTTGGCACTGCTTGGTTTCTGTCTACAAAAAAATAAAAATCCATGGTTTGCATGTTATTTTTCTTAACTATTAACAATATTAAATATATTAGGAAAAATGAAAAATGAATGCTACGGTATACCAAGTCTAATCGTTCAATAAGTCAATTCTATTTGCTAACAGCAATGTTGAGATGAGGTTGGTGAAAAGTACCTAAAATAGTCCAGATATATTCTTAAACTTGTACAAAAGAAATTAGATCTGTTGTTAATTGGGTTACCTAATCTAATCCAATTATCTGAATTCTAGTTTTGAGCAATTAAGTAAATTTCCATTTCATCAAAACATTTAAATAAGAACATTAATTTTTATGAATATGGAAGAGATAACGTATTTCACAAAGCAAATTCCCATTCACTACTACAGATATGAGCCTGAAATTGAGTAATTTAGGAATAAAGACACAGAAAAAGGAAAGGGAAAAGATGATTCAGACTGTCATGTAACCTTATTAGATCAACCACAATAAATAACTGCCTTGGCTCCCTAGCTTTTGTATCTGACAGATATCTAATTATTGGAAGGTAAGTGTACCCAGGAATTTATAGTGACTGAATGGCAGTTTTATTGAGAACATTTTTCTGATCAACAAAAATGGCAATAATACTAAAAATATAATTTTCCACGGTGTTCTCTAAAGCTTTTTCTTTCTGACATAACACACACATACAACCTTCGAAACATAAATATATGTAATATGCAAATATTACATTGTCCTTGAGACAAAACAGTTGCTCATCAATCTGATAAAGAATAAAATGGAAAACACATATTCCTCTTTTTGTATCCTTACAATATAGAGACTTGCAGTATGCCCACATGATTCCTGGACAAATCCGGATATATTACAAATTAAACAGGATTATCAAAAAATTAAAGAATCTATGATAATGACATTAACTTTAATACTTTTACTACAATAAATTTGCCTTTTTTTGTATACAAGGGTCAACAGACTCCATGATTCTCACCTTATTAAATACAACATATTGCCATACCTAATTGCAAGAAGGAACAGAAATTCGAGAATGTCCTGGTTGGAATGACAGGCCATATTATATAATTTCAATTTCCTATACTAGTTCCAAGTCACACCCAAACCTTCTTTGCAAGGAAGTGAGGGATGTAAAAGAATCACCATATTGGTTCATGGATACATACTGGAATTATTTCACAAGTGAAACAAGTTGGTGAAGTGGAATTTAGAAATCGCAAATTTAAAAGATTAAAATCCATGTATCTCGTCCCAAATCACAAATGTCGGAATTCACCACACAACCTGTTCCTTTTCTTTTTTTCTTTTTTGGAGAAAGATGTCATCTTAAATGTACCGAGGCAATAATCCCTGCCTGCCCTGGCCCCCGGGTTAGCAAACCTCACCGGCCTGACGAAGACCGTGGCTGGCTCAGTACCTAAGGAAAAAGCAGCATCACCCCCCACCCCCACCCAGACATCAAATTTCGTGGTGCGTGTACGCGCTCCACGCCGGAAGAGCTAGGCCGATCGTCGCCGGTCGGAACCGCTCCTTCCCGGCACGGACCCGATGACGCGGGGAACAGAGCGAATCGGGCCCCGCGGCCCGAGCTACCACGGCTGGTTTCAAAACCGACGCGGACGGCACCAGTACCACGCCAGGTAGACGCTCGGAGCACCAGGCCTGAGCGGCGTGCAGCTCGGTGCGTCCGAACAAAAGAGGCGTCGGGTGACGACAGCGCCGCGGCGGCCTGA